CTAAACTAAACAGCTCAATATCTCTTAGATGGAAAAAATCTGTAGGAATTAAAATCTATAAAATCGCAAACAGTCACTCATCACCTATATGAGCGTTGGCTTTGCGAACTGGAAACTACGATTCTGAGATGCTAAAACGTCGGGTGTGAACGATCTACCAGTCGTCATTAGCTACATGCAGCTTTTCTTCCTATGTGAGATGACATTCTCCACCTGCCTTGTTCAAGGACTATGAACATTAGAGCTGAGGGCACTGATCGATAGAACTAGCTGAGAGACAGGCGAAAAGAAGGACCCGCATGGTGTGGCGGTGCACGGGTTACTCCCCGGAAAGCACAGTAGCGCGTTCGTTCCCCACCGCACACACCTGCGGTCCGGAGTTTTACAAATATCTCAGCAATCTTGTGGCTGTATTTCGCTTAATACCCTGCTATTAAAATTATAGAAGGCAGAAAATAAAAAGTAAAACATTAAAGCTGTATTTTGAAGAGATTCTGCTCGGCCACTCCACTACCTATTGGAGAGGTACTCAGTAGAGAACAGTGACAAGTGTTAAGGGTCCACTCCAACAACCGCCAAGACTATGATTCCAACCATTCTTGATAATGCGCTCAAAAAAAATCCGACCTTAAATCTCAAATATTTATAAACATACATGTATATATGTATAGATATATGTATATATATGTATATATATTTAAAGGGATAAAGCTCTCGACGTTGATCAACCCTTGAGGGATGCGACATGCATTCGACTTCACTAAGGATCGTTTGATTGAATGCATACCTGGCCTTCACAATTTCTCGCCGTGGCCAATCGATGTATCGAGCCAGTGCTGCTATCCTCCCAGAGAACTCTGGTACTAATTTGCCGACTCTGGAGAGATGGAAGGATTGGTGAGCCTAAGGCGCATGGATCGATCTTATGTGTTTCATAGCGCTTCCGAGTACTGCGCTACACGCGCCCTATATCATATATATAAATACATATATACATTTGCATGTACAAATATGTATAGAAATTTGTGTACACATTTATCATAAGTGTGTATATATATACGTATAATTATTTTGAGATAAATCCACATTAATACTTGAAACTTTGAATCTTTTTCTTTCAGGTCAGCAAATGTTAGCAGACCTTGGCCAGTGACTTCATGTACTCTTTTTTCCCTTTATAACAGCTGAAAACAACAACAACAACAACATTAACAACCGAAACCTGAAAAAGCGTACTCTACTTGAAGGTTTGGGCATTAAATCGGAATAGCTTGCATTCATCTGCTAACCCTCTATTCACAGAAAGAAACAAGACCAGTGATTTTCGAACGAAACGTGTAAAACAGCCACCTGTTCTGCGCTATACGATAGATGGCACTCTCATGCATTTGAAACAGCTCTTACGTCCTCTACTTTCGAATGCTTTCTCCTTTCTTCCTGTGTGACGTCAACTCACACTCTACGGGTGTATGTTCTAATGCTGAACTACTCCATGTTCGAAATTCATTTCGGCACATAGGCAATGGTTAGGACACAAGTAAACGAAATGTAGAACACTGTCCCGAACACTGATTTGTCCCTGAAATTCATTTCAGAGTATAAAACTAGTCCTCGTTCTTCAGCAGATTCTTTCCTTGACGCTTTAATATACAGATCGACATGTAATGGATTTGAGCGGTAAATAATACATTTTATTTCACAAGCAATTAAAACACGACGATAGACTATAACACTTTACTAATAGCTATGAGGCAGCATGTAACATAATATTCGAATAAAGTAAAGAAACAGTACGTTTTAAAATTGTTAAGCTTAGATGAGGTTGAAAAATATGTTTCTTCTGGCCAACGTTTCGACGTCTTCGTCTTCATTAGAGCCGATGATCCGAGTCGGTGGTCCACAGTACAAACCTCGTGTAAACTCAACAATTTAGAAACACGTTAATTATTTTACTACGGAGGTTAAATGATGGTCAGTTTGAAAATTAAAGAAACACTTTCAAAACTAATGATACGACCACATGAGATATTCTATTTTTCATTACTAACAGGTTCACAATTTCGAGAGCACAAGAGGAAATGACGAAGCAAGTCGATCGCGAAATGATAATTGCTCATAGTGACATTTCTCAAAAAAAAAGGAACAATGATTTAATATAAACCGATAGAATGCCTGCTGACCAACAGATGAAAGAAATCATAATATTTCCCTCCACACGCTAACTTTAAATTTGTGAGAACTAGGACTTACTCTTCACCCTAAACTTCACTAGTACATTCCTTCAATCCATGAGATTTCAAAAACAAGGAAGAATCTCTTCACACACGTTTATGATAGTGGCTTTGCTTGCTGAAATTTGATGGGAGGAGGCCGAACGGTTTTCAAACGATTCCTGATAACATCTGGCAAACTTTCTAGCCCTTTTCGGTCCTGAAAAAAATAAACAATTCCTAAGTTTAATTTAACACATCAGAGTCCTCCTGATTTCTACATAAAGGATTTTTACTTGAGATCAAGCACTTGACAAACCTAGAAAAGTAACTGTGTTCTTGATCTGAGAGTGTTTACACAATTTTCCTAGTTTTATTATGAGCTTTTGCCCATTTGAAATTCTAAAATTTTCTGAAATCCAAACTAATAAAAATGTTCGTGACATCAACGCATTATGTTGGATGAAATTTCGCTCATTGTCCCAGTTGTAAGGAATATGCGCTTCAACAAAAACTTTTTTTTCGAGAAAAACGGTCTCTGCCTCCCCCCCTCCCTCCTCAAAAGAAATTGTTGCCGTAAACAGAGAAAAAAAAACTAGTATTTTGTTGACGAAAATGAGTGAAAACCAAAATTTTCATGTATACCAGGAAAGTTATGGGCGCGAGTGGTGCAGTGGTCGGAGGCGCCCCGCAATTCAAATAGAATCGATTCTCAAGCCCCTGGTTCACCAAGCTTTCCATTCCTTCAAGCTCGGCAAACTGGTACCAGACTTGTATGGAAGGATAGCAGCACTGCCTCGATACATCGGTAGGCCACCGCAAGTAGTTGCAAGTCATTGTAAAGGCCATATATGCATTCAATCACCTCCAAATGTTGCTTAATAAAGTCAAATGTATGGCACATCCCTCAGGGATTGATCAACGCCGAGAGTTTAATCCTTCTATCTTTATCCTTTTCATCAGAAAAGTTCACTTTGAGATGGGATATGCTAGTCCGAAATTTAAAGGCTGAATTAGAGGAGCGATTAGTAGGTAAGCTATTGTGGTGGGAACTCATCATGATGATCGCAAAACGAAAAAGCAGCAATAATTGAAGATGTGGGTATCTGAACGAGTGCGCTGGATAACATGAGGAAACACGATCGCTGTTATGCCTCCAGTGTTTTAGAAAATTCGCCCAAACGATGGGGAGCTTTATTGCCGCATCTGGGCTATGGTTACGAAAGGAACGAACAGATATGATCACAGGCAGGATCAGTAGTGGGAACCACTAACTTTAGAATAGATCAGGATATTCAATGAACTCGGTGTTAAACAGCAAAGACATCTCAGCACCCGTCCCCCATCTGCAACAATTGTTGCCATATTGAAATCAGAGACCGAAACTCGTCCAGAAGACGGTGTTCTTGTACATCATAAAATACAGAAATAAGTCGTATGAAATGCTGAGATATCTGCAAAACTCCGGACCACAGGTGTATGCAGTGGGGAACGAACACGCGCTGTTGTCCTTACCGGGGAGCAGCGCGCTTCACCACTACACCATCCGGGTCCTTCGCTTTGCATGTATCTCATGGTGATTGCTGATGGCAAAAGAACTAGCTGAGATACATGCAAAGCGAAGGACCCGGATGGTGTAGTGGTGAAGTGCGCTGCTCCCCGGTAAGGACAACAGCGCGTGTTCGTTCCCCACTGCATACACCTGTGGTCCGGAGTTTTGCAGATATCTCAGCATTTCATACAAGTTATATTTCACAACATACCCTGCCATTAAGAAGAAAAAGGCAGTAAATAAAAGAGTTAAGACAGAAATAAGTTTTAGCGTGCTATATCCTACAGACGAATATTATCGAATAAGAACGAAATATGACGAAAAAAACTCTGTGCCGCAAAAATGAACAACCAAAACGGAAATGAACCATAATTCATCATTCCGGCCAAAGTGATGATCAACCACGCCTGAGTTGTGTATAACTTATGCCGGCAGGAATATAGGCAAGGAACAAACTTTAATATGTAACGTACATGGTGGTCCGAAAGTTGATGAAGGTTCAGTCCTATTGCTTTAAGACTGGAACTGACATTTGTAAAATGATCTTGCGATTTATTTGGCGTAAATTTATAAAGAACTGGAAGTGGAATTTAGGTCTCCAAAATGTTTTCTGGAAGTGCGACAGTTGAAACCGTCAAATAAGTTGGGGCACCCTGGTGCTCTGTTTATGAATCCCTGACTGCTCCACCAGATTGCTACTAAAAAAAGAGCAAAAAGAACAATTTACGGACATAAAAATCACAACTTTATCGTTAAAAAGTAAGGAAAATTACATCTTATTGAAAAAACCAGTAGATATTATCATTTCGTGGCCAGCACTTGGAAATGTCTTGAAATTCATGATTAGTCCATTTCTGTAATTTTACACTCACCCACTCAACACGATAACCATGACTAACAATAACGATTACAATTGGAACAGTAGACAATTATCAGTCGGATTACCTGCCAGTAAACTTTTTCGAAAAGAGGTTTATTGTACAGGAAACAGTTTTCCATAATGGACAAGCGGTGCATTGGATAAGCTATCGACTGACTGTAAGAAGTATAGGGAAAAAGTTCTAGCGCCGAAATAAAGCGACAGAAAGAAAATGACTTATATAGAAATCACATGAACCAAAATGCGCTCCTCACTCCAAATAAGACTGCTATCGAGGCCATGTTGTCACGTAAGTGTTAAAGTCTACAGGCGTAATTACTTCGAACACGCATACATTGAAGTCAACTTATGGTATCGATTAATACGTGTGTGATATAAACGCAAAGAATAATCGAACTTTAAATATTTGAAAACATACCGTTTGAAACGATTCTAGCAAACCAATTAATGTTCTAGTTGAGGCGATAGCAGTACCGTTGCAGGTGTGGACAAATTCTTTTGTGTCCGACTTTGTCTTGTAACGAATGTCTAAAGAACACAAATTCTATCGTTAATCCATATTTGAAGTCTAGTGAAAACAAGATCATGGTAAGATACCAATATAAGGGTTTCCATCATGCTTAGTGCACGAATTGCTTTCTACACCGTGACGAATCTCGATCCTAGTTCATGTTTCTACAAAAGCAACGATTCTACGTATGACTAACGCCTGTAGAGAATATTTGGTGGAAGAATGTGACGACGCTCTTCACCTGTATTATCTGTCGTCCTATTGACCATTTAGTGGCACGAAAGAACACCAGTAGGCCAATCATTTTCCTTCTCGAGTGCAGAAGCAGCCCAGTATTACGCTTCTGGACCACCACACCATCAACGTATAAAACGACATCTTTGATTTTTGATCGTTGACGTCGGTCGGAGGTTTGGATCCCCTACCTCGGTTGCAAGAGATGGGATACTTCTGACATTGTCCTTTCGACTGCGCATTCTATAACGCCGAGTGGTACTTCATGCTATTTATGTAGCGACTACGTTTCTGACGCATATGTTAAGGGAGGAAGAATCGTGAAGTCGAAAAGGTGGGCCCGGTGGCGCGTGTTCTTTGTTCTTTTCACTACGTCTTCGATGCTCTTGGAAGCTCTCCAAGCCTTTCGCTTACTCCTGCTATTCTTATTTTCCTCAATATCTGTGATACTCTAGTTATTCTAGCACCGCTCTTATTTGCGAAAATCTAGCCTTTTTAAACAATATTCTCCATGGCTTTACAAAAAAAAAACTTTTGAGAAGAACAATTTCTTATATACCACGCGAAGTGTCCTGAGCTGATATCTGCCACAACACGTGTGTTGGAGGAACTACCGATTTACAAATCTAACCGAATACAGTAAGAAACTCTGCGTATCAGAATACAAAACAGGAAACAAATAGTACACTACCAATTACTTGGGCACACCAAAAACACGCGACGATTTCGCAACTATTTTAAGTTACAAGGACGAAAACTAGGCGCATAATTGGAGAAAGTGGAAATTTTGTGTTAATAGAGAACAAAAAAAAACCAACTCAATCTCCTTGCTTGGTAATCAGTACAATTGCTAGCGGACGAAACTTCACCAAAAATCTCTCGTCCAGGCATCCACACCTCTATATCCACTTTTCTAGCAGCTGGAGCTCCCAACTCCTCACTTGGCATATCTAATTGTCTAGAAAAGTACTTTATAATGGTATAAAAAATAGATAATAAAGGAAAACGATAAAGCATTGGGCGCTGACCAGCCTCTGACCAATGCGTCATGCATTCAACGTCATCAAAAGTTCGCGGTGACTAGAAGAAGAATATAGAAGACTAGACTATACGACACAACTATTACCTGCAATGTAACCCGAGAGCTTCGAATGTCCCCTTCTGAATTTCAACAAGGTAATTTAGTTCGCCATCACTTTGATCCGGTGTACAAATCACAAACATTTCAACCTACAAAAAATCTAAATCACCAAACAAGGAGAAATAGCATTTCCGATCAAGCCAAACGGAAAAAGAGACAATCGCACACCTTGTTGAATTCGTGTACGCGGTAGAGCTTCGCTTCATGGGCAGAATTGCTTATTTCAGGACGATAACACCTAAAGAAATGGAACATCAAGAAAGTATAGTATGTGTGAATGCTCGAAATTCACAGCATCAGAAACTGAAAATCACATACTAACATCCACCTGCTCATAGTTACAAATCGTAAAGGCAGTCGTTCTTCATCAACAATTTGATTCTGCAAACAAGATGCAACGCCCATCTCTCCAGTACCCGAAAGCACCACATTTGGTTCATCTTCTAGTGAATACTAAAAATGAGCGGAAGCAGAAATAAAGTACCTTAGCGAAAAATACGGTTGCTTTCTCTAGTACGGTTATATCGACATTAAAGGTAAAACCATGGTATACTATCCCTCTACTAACCATTAACAAAGTAAGAATACAGATTATTAATCCTCAACCCAAAGCACAACACGGCCATTTCCATAAAAGCATATAAGTCACTGGAGAATTTAATGCCAAAAATGGACTAAGAAGAACGTCTGAAGAACGTCATATTGGGACCCACGGATTAGAGAGCAACGAACAGAGTGAGGTGCTGTTTGAGTTCATCATGACGACCAAGACCATTCATGGCAACTCGTAATCCAGAAAACTAACCTTCAACGCTGGACATGGGAGTCTCCCAATGGAAAGTTCCATAACGAAATAGACCACACCACAGTAAATCGAAGGTTTTGTCTAACCGATTTCACCGCTGTCCCAAAATTCTACACCGGATCAGTCCGTCGTCTCCTTCGTGCAACATTCTATTTCTCACGGAAAGGAGAAAAAGCCTCTAAATTCCAAAACCGAAGTCCCAGAACCATCGTAAACTGGAATTTATTCAATTCATTAGTAGGCTGCTGGGAAGACACCGTTGTCGATAACATCGGCGAAGAATACGGTCGGCTCATTCAACATCTTCACGTTAGTACTATGAAAGCTCAGAGTACGAAAATCACCAAGAGGAGTCTGTTTCCAAAAACGCTCGAGCTGATACGCCAGCGCGGAATCGCACGAGCTGCAGGCAACCGCGAACTAGCGTCCGAGCTTGCAAAACAATGCAGACAAGCGATAAAAGAAGACTTTAGAGAGAGAAGAGCAGCAGTAATAGCCCGAGCTGCAGACACTGGGAAAAGCATTCGCAAAGCCATCGCCTCCGCGCAAAAATTCACGTTCCAGTGGGAAGTAGAAAAAAACCGCTGAATTCAAAAAACGAAATCCCAGAAACACCGTAAATTGGGATTTATTCGATTCATTAGTCGGCTGTTGAAAAGATGTCGTTCTCAATAACATCGACCAGCAATTCAGTCGGGTCGTTCAACATCTTCACGTTAGCGCTATGAAAGCTCAGAGTTTGAAAGTCACCAAGAGACGTCTCTCACCAGAAAGACTCGACCTGATACGCCAGCGTGGAATCGCACGAGCTGCAGGCAGCCGCGAGCTAACTTCCGAACTTGCAAAATAATGCGAACGGGCGGGCGATAAAGGAAGATCTTAAAGAGAGAAGAGCAGCAGTAATGGTCGTAGCTGCAGAGGCTGGGAAAAGCATTCGCAAAGCCCACCGAAGCTTCGCTAATTACAAGATTAAGATGATTGCGCTCCGACGCCCAGGCGGAACAGTTACAGCGTACAGAAAAGCAAGGCCGTGCTATTCTTCAAGAAGGGTGACCTGCACGATATCGGTAACTATCGCCCAATCTGCTTACTGTCTGTCGTCTACAAACTTTTCGCTCGAGCCATCCTAAACAGGATTGACAGAACACTAGACGTAGGACAACCATGTGAGCAAGCAGGGTTTCGAAAAGGATTTAGTACCATGGACTACATCACACGATAACAAGACTCATTGAAGTATCACATACATTTATATTTGTACACATATCTATATACTTGATACTTGAATGGCCCGTCCTCACTGGTTGTGCGGGCTCCAGCATAATCTCCATTTTTCGGAGATTTGCTGGTTGAGCCATAATGGCTCCTTGGAGTCCCGAGGTCAGCCTGGCCAAAGTCTGCTCTGGGTCTTCGCCACCACGGGCAGTCGCAGCCTTTGTGGATCAGAGGAAAATTTGCCACTATGTGACTAGTTTGATACTAGGACGGTGGTAGATCCTAGTATTGGTTTACTCTTAGCTAGGTTTCCTCACGGAAACGCTGGACACCTTTGCAGCTTGGTAGGCCCTGTCGGGGAATGAATCTGCTCGCTGTACATCACAGCCCGACACCAAGGAACCCCTAGCCACTATAAGGCGGTAAGCCGTTGGGAGAAAGGCTTATATATATATATACATATATATATTATATATATATATGTATAGGCAGGGCCTACCAAGCTGAAAAGAAGTCCGGCATTTACATCAGGATGGCCAGCTAAGAGTAAACCAATACCAGGATCCGACACCGTCCTGGTTTCAAACTAGTCACATAGTGGCAAATCTCCCTCTTATCGACAAGGACTAGGACTGCCTGTGGAGGTGACGACCTAGACCAGACCTTGGCCAGACTGCCCTGGGAATTCTAAGAAACCACAATGGCCTAATCAGCAAATCTCCGGAGAAAATAAATACGCTGGGGCACGCACAACCAGCGAAGACGGGCCATTCAAGTATCCAAATAAGTAATATATGAGCCTTGCATACTGTCGGGGTTGGGAAACGAGCTAGTAAGAGATTTGCTCGGGATAAACCATCTTCCTCCAATGCATAAAGTAGGCGAGTGTTTATGATGAAGATCTGAGGACGACATAGCACTTCTGCCTTAAAATTCCAGAGAGAATCGACTTGTCTAGAATCCAACGACACTAATAGGAAAAAAGAAGCTTTTTAAGCGGCAACCGAAATCACACTTAAAATTCACATTCGTTTATGATGGATGCGAGAAAATGAATCGAATGCAAGAAGCACTGAGACTGGCACATGTGATGTTGGATCCCATAAAATAAATGACAATATGTATAAATATATTTGCATGTATATGTAATACACATTGTACACATATATATATATATGTATATGCATTCGTACATATATATATGCATATGTATATATATATATATATATATGTGATATACAATACATAAGCATATATGCGAACATTTACCTGAATACTTTTCGGTGAACTTTGAAATAAGCCGCACGCTTCAGTAACCTCTTTAGAAACAAGATCAGGCACAGAAATCGGTTTAAAGTCCAGCACACATACGCGGTCAAAGACATATTCAAGCAGTGCTCGTTCGAGGTTTGCAAGAGCACCTGGAAGAGAAAACATGTATAGCTGACACTTCAGGATCACAACCGGTGTTTTGATAAAATAGAAACTGGTGCCAACACACCTACAAAAGCATAACTTCTTTCCCCTGATGCATCCGTGGGATAAAATAACGTTCGCCATGAATGAACTAGTTCCTCAGCCGTAACGCATGGACCCTCACGTTTTGTACCCCACGTACACAGTACCTGACTCAGCATTTCCAAAACAAGTCCACGGTAACAAAGCAGACACTAGGGATTAAAATTAATAGGAAAGAATTTACCTTCGCATTTTTCTCATCACCTCTTGGCACATCCGGATGTGACATGTTGGGTATACGCAAAGCTTCATGGTAAAACTATAAATTGGTTTAAAATGAAAAGTAGAAGTAGCTCACTAATCAAAACCCACATTATCCCACATCCTTTTGAGACGTTCTTCATTAATATCAGGTTTTTCTTTTGCATCCATCACCTTGTTCAGCTCAGTCCACTTCGCACGTACAGTGTCAATGTCGCCCACGCCTTTCCTCTCTCTGAATGACCCATCAACACAACATCAACTGATAACTGCTATCTAACGAATTCTCACGCAATATTTCTTCGAATTGCCTCCAAATTGGAATCATCCAGAAGAAAATCGAAGTCCAGTTCTGGTCGACGGGATGTGCACAAATCTCGGCGATGAAGTTTGAAGATTTGGTTAATCAACCCATAGGAACGAAACAAAAACGCAGCACTGGACAGTGTGCGCCTCATGACGCCTTGAAAACATATGAAGTACTTGACACGTTGCATAAGCGTATCACCTATTGCTCTATGACTGTTCAATGGCAAATAACGACTGACGTTAAACAGAAAGAAAGTCTGAATAATATCAAGGTGAAAAATTTATTAGCTATAAGCAGAAAAACTTTCACGGAACCAACATCAACCTAAATCGCATTTCAACAATAAAAAAGAGATCCTTTAATTAAAAAGTCCTCAAACAACGGTCATGAGGAAACGAACATTCATTGACCACGAACGGACTTTCGTTGCGAGTACACTTTAAAGCGAGCGTGCGCTCGAGCCAGCATTTGATGGCAGTGTTCAACCTGAACATTGAAATTATAATCTCTTCATCAATGACTAAAAGAATGTAATGTTACCTAAGGAGGGAAATGTAAGATAACATACAAGGGATAAAGGGGATAGGGGGACAGGATATAAGAGGACATAGGATAAAGCTCTTGCCGTTGATCAATCCATGAAAGATGCTCCATGCACTTAACTTCATTAAGCATCGTTCGGAATTATTGAATGCATATATGGCCTTTACTATGACTCACAGCGGTTTAACGATGTATCGTGCCAGTGCCGCTGTCCCATCAGACAAATTTGGTACCAATTTGCCGACCCCAAATTGATGGAGGGCTTAATGGGCCCAGAGAGCGGGAATTGACTCATGTGTAATGCGGGGCGCCTCCGACCACTGCGCCACGCGCCCACTGATATATGGAACGGAATCGCTTTAATGCACATTGAAGAGAATAAAAAACTTGCATTCTTCCTTCCAAATTGCCGCTCTGCTTCACGAAGTTGATTTGTTTCATAATGAAGTAGTGTTTGAGCCATTCGTTGCAACTTAAGCTCATAATATTGTATTTAATGAATTTGACGCGTTAATACTACAAATATTCCATAGCGAAGCCCACCTTGTCTTCAAGTTCTGGCGTTATAGGTGGAAAACACAACCAAAAATGCTTCAAAAGCTCGGCAACTGCATCGTGAACAGCGCGTAATTCACTGAGTTGCGCGGGAGGTAAGCCCCAACTTGACGGGTCACCACAGCTAATTATAGGCTCGTGATCATTGCAATTCTTAAAAGTAAAGATAACAACGATAAAAAAAGGCATTATAGTAATTCTGAAAAAGCACTACTGTCTCGTTCCCTTCCATATCGAGAGCATCCAGTTCCCCATCTTCAGGAATTAGAATGTCCTAAACATGAGATCCAGATGCTTAGTGTATAGCAAATCTCGTACTATTCGGTCGTAACATATAAAATGTCCGATTTCATTGTTTTAAGCTTCGTGTAGTTTTTTAGGTAAAAATTTCGTTTTTCATGTACGTTTAATATATACTTTGCAAACATAAAGTCTGTTCTTTCTATCCCTTGAATTGGTTTTTTCAAGATTTATTATTTTAAGGTCTTTATAAACTTTAACTTTGGTATGAATCAACGTGATATTCATGCCCTTTTTTGTACGAGTGAAACAGTGAACACTATGCCCAGCAGGGGCTCGGAATATCATCAAGTTTAGGGTGAAGGTAGTGCTGGTGAATTCGACCTCGAAGTTACCGAAGGCCACCGACGTCCCAACGAACTCGACGACGATGAATTGAAGGCAATAGTGAAAGCAAACACGCGAACAACTGTTTGAAGGCTTGATAAAGAGCATGGCGTAAGCATAGGAACAATTTCCACTCACTTGAATCGCATAAGAAGGACAAAAAAGGTCGATAGGTGGGTGCAGCACGAACTACTCGATAATCAAAAAATTCGCCGTCTTGAAGTGTCTTCTGCTGTTATTCTGCGCAACAAAAACGACCTTTTCTTGATCAAACCGTGAAGTTCGACGTGAACTGGATTCTATACGACTACCGCTCATTGACGTTCAGGTCAGTGGTTGGATTGCAACCAGGCTCCACGACACTTCCCAAAGCCGAAATTCACCAAAAAAGGTTATGGTGACTGTTTGGTCTGCAGTCGGGATGATTCATCACAGCTTTTTGAATCCTGGAGAAAGGAATACGGCAGCGAAGTATTGCCAACAAATTGACCAAATGCACTGTTAATTACAACAAGAACGACCGGTATTAGTCAACAGAAAAAGAGTAATCTTACTCCACGACAAAGCCCAACCTCAAGTTGAGGAACCAGTGCTACAGAAGTTGAACGAGTTGTGTTACGAAACTTTACTTCGTCCTTTATATTCACCAAGCCTCTCGTCTCAGCTATCACTTCTTCAAGCACCTTGACAACGTCGCCAGAAATGCTTCACCAACCATGATGACGCAAAAAAGCCTTCACCGAATTCACCACTTCCAGAATCCCAGAATTTCATGCAACTGCAATAAGTTTGTTTCTTGTTGGAAAAATGTGCTGATTTCAATGGTGTATATTTCGACTAATGAGATTTAGTATGAAAAAAGTTATAGCTATTTAAAATTTACATTTAAAACCAGACATTTCATATGTTACAGTCTAATATTTCTTCTCTTTCTCTTCATAGCGAAAGACACCTCGTCAGAAGAGCTTTCTAACAGAGTCAGCACAATGTCCTTATAGTTCGCAGCTTCATCAGGTGGATAGGTCCGCTGGAAAATATGTTTTTAATCTCAGATCAAATACTTGCAATAGTGAGTTGGCTGAAATTGGGAATTATGAATGGATCTAGAAGCGATGAACTACATTTTCTCAGAAATCTCACAAACAGTGGACAGAATATGTAATCCTAATCCGTACATAAAATAAGTGGAAGTAAAACGGATATTTCCTTTCAAGTTATCAGAATCCTATAAGCTATAAAGAAAATTATGAAACAGAGAAAATACGCAAGGAAGCCTACGTCAACTCCTCGACTATTGGCAATGATATTAAGGATTTGGCAATCTTCCTTCCCACTTTCCTCAATCAGTTCATTCGACTCCAACCTGCCTTCGTCTTCTTCGATTAACCTCTCAAAAAGATAGATATGTTAGAGTAGTTTCAACGAATAAAACGGAAACAAACAAGAACTCAAGGATTCCTACTGAAGAAAGAGACGAGAAACTAAAAGAACAACCATAAAATCACACGTATGCTACCAATCAATTTTAAAAAAAGATGACCTTACATTTAGGACAGCAAAGCCCGTTGACTTTGGCACGTCATTGGCCGTATCCGTACTTGGCACGGGTTTCAAAGCCATAAGAATTTTCTCCGACAAATAATTACAACGCCGAACAAGAGTGTTCTTTTGCCGTGCTTTTATTGGATCTGGTTTCTTAACGATAAAATCAGTAGCTTGAGGAATACGAAGTCATAAACAAAGGTATGGAAAATAAAACAGTGAAATAGTGTTACCTCAAAATCACTCAAAATATTGTCGTCAAGATGTTCTAGGTCAAACCGTTTACGAGATATCCCACTATGCTGAATTCTTTCCATTTCTGCTTCATCCAGTCGAACGCAGTCAGAAAATGGATCACTGGGGTTGGGCAAAACCTTAACAATATCCTATTCTGAACGCACACTTGGTTTCAAGAGATTCTTAAATGAATTTAGATTATAACTCGACGAATACTTAAAAATTCCACACCTCCCTTTCACGGTGAAAATAATGCGACTGGAAAAATTTTGTCCAAAACTGCGCCTCAGTCATCTCGTGCGGAACAAGTTCCAGATGTTTCTTCTCTACTAAAAATCAGCAATTTCTACGATATATATTACCACGGAAGAACTCAATCCTCACCTGCTGGATAAGTCTTGAATACGGCCTGGATAATCTCTGTATTCAAATTGAGCTTAATACCATTCGTGCCTTCCTGCTGCACTATATTCGACAGGAATGCACCACTAACACCCGTTTTATCCTCCATGACACCGGACTAGAACATTATATGGGTTATCAGCGCAAAAGCACGTCAAAAGGCAGAAAAATAAACAGCACATAGCTGAGCTTACAGAGCTAAAGTAGTCGGTCCAAAATTCTTGAGCACTAATTAATTTCGACGCCACGAGGTGAGTATACAATTGGTCCAGATGCTTGTTTTCTCCAAGTATGCGCTGTTTCTCTCGAAGCTCGGTTTGTTTGACATCCTGTTCATTTGCAGCTGCTAACTGAAATGAGAAGCTGGAAAAAGAAAAGCAGTTTCATATCCGTAAACTTGGGTAAACGTACAAAACGCAATTTCACTATAGTTCGCCGCTCTATAAGTAATTTAACTGTAAAGGGTCATTAAACAAGAACACTAATGTTGTCAAACACTCGCAAAATAAAGTGACATCGAGGATTAAAGGTAGCGGGACCGATACCACCACCAATGGCGTTTCTACCAGCTTTTTTCTTTTGTTCATTTACGAATGCTTCAAGGGCCGACATGAGGCTTTTCGACACTTGGATTAAAACATGTCGGCCCTTGAAGCATTTGAAAATGGACAAAAATGACAAGAAAGATGAGTCCTTTCACTATTACTATGTTAATGAGCACTTTGGACATTGACCAGAAGTGGGCGAACAGACAAAGTTCGCCACATGAAGGCAAGTTTGTCTTTGAAATTAACCAAGAGTAAAGGAAACCAAATATTACAGCCAAACCTGATTAACTCTCTGTCGATGAGCTATTAGGGCTTGCTGTAGGGTCTCCTTTAGAAGATCACGCTCCTTAACCAGTTCGTCTTTGTTCAACGTTGGATTCAGAAACACAAAAGTCGCCTGTTCATCATTTTGAAGCACCAGTTGTAACTGAACCTTCGACTTGTTAGGGGGTGAAACGCGTTGACCTGAAAGAATTTAGTGCCTTAAACTTCTAGAATCACCTGCATAAACAAAAACAAAAGAAAAACGAGACCTTTGATCTGCATGAACTTCACAAAGAGGACTTCAGGTCCAGCATTATCCCTCCACTCCACATGCTCCCTAACACCACATGAATTTATAGAGTGCTAATTCAAATAAACCAGATATTGACATTATTTGAAAGAAACTCCTAAGGACCACCAAAATATGAAGCCTATAAGGCTCATGCTTCAATCACAGGTAAAGGAATGGCGAAAAATGTATGGTAAGATCGAACTTGTATAGAAGTAGTCTTCCAATCGGTGACCTGCCATCGCCCGGCTTCCTGTACTTAATGTGATCCAACGACAGAAGCAATTCAGAAGTGTCGACCATCTCTAACGACTGTCCATGTGGTGTACACTCGAACAGAACTGGATTAGTAACTTGTACCTATAAAACTATTGAAAGCCTCAAATCGTCGTCGTTATAAATTACTGGAGCAAGCAGCTTGATCAGGAAGTAAATTGCTCCAGCTTAGTTCGCGGCAAGGGATTCCCGAGAAATTGCACAAAGCGCGAAAAATGAGGTCCGCAATATTAGGAAAGGAATTCGCCACGAGTAAATGCGACGTATAGAGGGGATTGAGGCAGTGCGGAAGAAATGTTACAGCAGTGGTTGCTTCACGAAGATGTACTTGTTTATCTGATTAATGGTTTAGAGGTAAGTATAGCGTACTGGTAGAGATGGCCCGCAATACACACTTAATCGGGTGCTAATGCGATCCTACGCTCCAACTTCACCGACCCTTCTATTCCGCCGGGGTCAGCAAATTGGTGCCGGACTTATCTGGGAAGATAGCACCACTGACTTGATATATCGGGAGCTCACCGCTAATCACTGTAAAGGCCAAATATGCATTCAACCACCCTTAGCGATACTTGGTGAAGTCGAGTGCACAGCGCATCCCTTAGGGATTGATAAGGGTAGAATGCTTTATCCTTCTGAGTGACACCTATTGAGCCAAACTGCATTGAAACATTAGGTTTCTTGATAAATAGTGTTGGTTTTTTGTCTGGTTTCACATGGACGCCTTGTCTTTTAAACAAAGTTTTGTGGCTTTGTGCCTAGATTGCATACCATTTCAAAGCGCAGAATTTGTTCTACACCTCTATTTTGAAGTCTTGTGGTTGTTATCAAATTAAGCGCAGTTTGATAAAGTAATATGACACGTTGACTAAAAATGAAGAGAAAACGAAGACATTTTGGGGTTACATTTGCTCGGTTAGGTTACTTTTTACTCTTTATTTTTCAAGGATTTACCACAAGTGAAGTTACCTCACGTGAGCGGTGCTCCACTCAAGAAGATACAACTCGAAACGACAACGAAGAACCACAACACGATAACTAACGACTATCGGCCATGGGCTCAGGTGATCGGCTCTGAGGTGGACTAAGACCTGGAAACGTTACTTACGTACTTGCATATTTGTATGACTCGTCATCACTGATTGTGCGGACCCCAGCATTATTACCATTGTTTCGGAATTTTGCTGGTTTAGCCACTGTGGTTCGCTGGAGCCACGATTTCAGGCAAGCCGAAGTCTGTCCCAGGTCGCCACCACCACAGGCAGTCGCCGCACCTGCGGATTAGAGGAAGATTTGCATTTGCCATGCTGCAACTAATTTGATACCATGGACATAATGGACAAAATATGACTAAAAAAGAAGTGTGATCAACTCTTGCAAACGCCCTATTGAGAGAACCTTGACAGATAAAACCCTTTCAATTGTTAGAGTCCGAGGTTGTGAACTATGCGGATAATAGCAGATTCAATCAGTTTTCTTGATGAACAGACACAAGGATGCTAACAACAAGGATTGTTCGGTACAATACTCGCCGACGCTTCGGCGGATTAGCTTTTTTCAGAGCCTGAAAGAGTCGAACTGACAAGCAATGTATTAAGTTTTATCTGCTGAGGTTGTGAAAGTGTTTGACTTAAGACACTGTTCGCCAATTTCTCTCCCAGATCCTGAAAAAGGCGAAACCGCCGGAACGTCAGCCAGTATTGTGCTGAATGAATCTTGTCGTTACCAATCTGTCTGTTCATTAAAAAAAAACAGTGATTTACTTGATTAATGCTGAGGTTAATAGAAAGTCGCTCTCGGTAATAGCAGATTAGTTATTCTATCGCCCGTGTGACCTTGCAGCTTACCGCCGCATCGTGGCTGTGAGGTGCTCCTTGGTATCGGACTACGATGTACAGCGGTAGGATTCATCCCACTTCTCAGTCTCCCAAGCTGGGATGGAATCCGCCGTTCCCATCAGGAAACCCAGCTGAGTAAACCAATACCAGGATCCACCACTGTCCTGGTATTAAAGTAGTCGCATGGTGGCATGTCTCGCTCTGACCCACACGGGCAGCAACTGCCTGTGGTGGTGACGAACTGCGGCAGACATCGGCTACGCCGACCTCGGGACTCCGGGGCAACACAGTGGTTAAATCAGCAAAACTCCGAAGTGGGAATTAAGATGGGGCAAACAGAACCAGTGAGGATGGCCCATCCAAGTACCCAAGTATCGCCCGTGTCGAGATGTCATGCGTCTGAATTACAACCACTAGATGAAACCTAGGTTAATACTTTCGTCACTTCATCGTCAGCGACAACAGTTTCTCCTATTGGTTCAACTTATCCCTCTCTCCACAAAAGTAAACAAAACTATCCCCCACACCCCATGCTAACCGATCCTGCACCAGTACACACTCTCTGAATCAAATCACGGTCGTCAATTTAAAAAGAAGGACGCATCGTCTCTGCGTACAACCACATATTACAGAAACCGGAAATAATTATTGATCTTGTTTGTCTGGTTCTAGATAGCTCTGTCTTCCATGTTTTGGTTAGACTAAAGAAGAAGTTTTTTTCGGTCCGATAAAGTGCTCTCTATAGTTTTCCATACGAAATATGATGATTGTATAGTCCAGGCTTTGCATTGGTGTTATATTCCTGTTTGAAGTTCTGGTACTCGGAAGTCGGGACTGTAAGTTTTGCGTTTACTTCTGTCGGACCTACAGAATTTATGTCTCGAGATACGAGCCAGTCATCTCCTGGTGAAATAAGCATACCAATGCCTGAGGATGCAAATGCTGGAGGTGGGTGTTGTGGACAGCTGTCGTTCTCCACTCCTATGACTGCTTCTGTGCCTCCTATAGAGATTGAAATCGAAGAATGCGACTGTGAGAAGGACAAAAAATGGAGTCGAAAGTCCATTGACGATCATAAATCAAAGCGGAAGGACACGGCAACATCATTCACTAATTTCCTTCACCGATTTACAAGATCGGATGACAAGAAGGAGGACAAGCAGAAGCCTGTGTTGTGTGAGGAAGATGTGCTTCAACGACCGGATAAGCTATTGATTTCTGATTCGGAAGAGAACTGGTTTGAAATGAAAACCATTGGAATGGATGCATTTGGTGGCAACATAGGTAAGCTTTGTTTGGCCCTCATTTAATTTTTTTTTTTCGAAATTAACCGACTCAACATATAGTATACTTAGCGACTTGCATGGCCAGCCCCCATTTGTTGCGCGGGCCCCAGCATAAACTTCATTTCTTCGGAGTTTTGCTGGTTTACCCACTGTGGTTTCCTGGAGTCCCAAGGTTAGCCAGTCCAAGGTCTGCCCCAGGTCGTTGCCGCCCCTGTGGATCAGAGGCAGATTTGTTACCACGCGACTAGTTTGATATTAGGGCGGTGGTGGATCCTGGTACTGGTTTACTCTTAGCTAGACTTCTTGATGGAAACTCCAGACTCCTCAATTTGGGTGACTCTTCCGGGGAGATGAATTCCCCCACTGTATATCGCAGTCTAACACCCAGGAACACCTCCCAGCCACGATGAGACGGTAAACCGTTGAAAGGAGCTATAGAATAATGTTTAGTAAGTATAAGGCACATTATACTTTTCACTTGAGATCTCACCACATCCTGTTTCCTTTTTGAGAGACGAAATTAGCTTCTACCGAAGACTTAAAGGAATATGAAGCCAATAGTCTCTCGGTTTCTGATATAAAAGTGGTTTTGGTGATAAACCTTTGCAATCTTAGAATTCCTAGAACTACCACTTTTGAACAATTATTTTAATTCTTGTCGTGCGAGCTTAACATGCTTTGTTTGTTTTTAATTTTGCGCTAATTAAGGACACGAAAGCGGCGCCCCAATTTATGAGTGGAAGCCAGGGTCCTTAGAGGAGTCCTTGGTTACGGAGTTCAACCCTACACACAGAGAACTACTTCGCGTAGAGCACTCTGACCCCGAGCTTGACAATCTTGAACGCTCCATGTTAAAGCTTCTTGAGGAGTTCCGAAATGGACAGATGCGCTCACTTAGTGAGGAACAGATGGAGAACATGCGGGCGATGAAGAAGGAACACGAGGATGTCACGAATCTACATCTGGCTCTCTACAACCTCGATAAGGGGGGATGCGAAAAAAGCGAGGACGAACTGGATGTGATGTATGACAAACTTAGCCAGAAATTGCTTTGTATGCACGATTGTATGGCGTCGTTCGTACACGGGGACTAGTCTCCGAGCCCTGCGCCTTGTCAGCAAGCTCTTGTAGGATTGCCAGTTTCTTGTTGGATACTAGTAAAGAAATTGCTTTTGTGTTCTTGAGAGACCCATGTCATTGTGTGTTATCCATGATGCGACGCTTGTAATTGTACTATCATGAATTTGTACTGAACTGTAAATAAATTTATAGGTGACTTAGAGGAAAGGATCTTGCTGAATGAGTGCGATCATTTCAAAGCTGTTTGCAGATATGCCAAATATCGAAGGACTACTGAAGATCATCAATGACGTTCCTGAAAGTGATGGTACGTTTTCAATTGGTTCAAAGCTTTCTTTTTATTTGCTACCTACTGCAATTTTTCACGGCAGTGATGCGTGATGCGGCCACAATAATGCTGAGATATTTTCAAAACTCCGGACCGCAGGTATCTGCGATAAGGAACGAACGCGCTGTTACCCTTTCTGGGGGCTAACGCATTCACCACTGCATCATACGGGTCCTTCGTATCACCTTTATCCCAGATAGTTTTCTATCTAACAGTGCTATTAGCACTGGGTTAGTTGGGTTCAATGCTGATTTGGACCCTCTAGATCAATCGAATTGACGAGTGATTGCTGATCGAACTCACAAAAGAATACTAACTGAGAGTGACAAGCGAAACGAAGGACCCTCATGGTGTGATGGTGAATGCGTAGCTCTCGGAAAAGGTAATATGGTGTTCGATCTCTACCGCAGACACCTTTTGTCTGGAGTTTTGCAAATATCTCAGCATAATTGTTGTAGTAATGCTTTCTTCGTAACTACTATGAGTTTTTGATCGTTCTTTATATATCGGAACGATGTTTGCTTTTAAGAGACAGCTCCAGAGAGAGTGGCCGAACTTGCACGCAAGTATAAAGAAGTGTTTGAAAAAAAGCCAAGCGAAATCGAGCATTTCCTTACCAACTGTAATTCAAGAATTGGATCCGTAAGTTCAAAATATCTTTGTGACACCTGATATTAAGATGGGACTATCTGAAGAATCAACCGTATTGGTTTATGAATCACGTAAACATTTAGGCTGCAATGATGGTTGCTATCAAAGCTTTATATGATACTTCAATTGGAAAAAATAACGAACATGGTGCTGATCGAGCTGTAGAATTTCTTAAACATTTTATTGAGAATGGCAGCATGGTTGCAGAACATTTGAAATTGATTCCCGACATCGGTTAGTTCCTCCGTGGAATATGTTCTTAGCACTTTAGATTGTAGACCTTTTTCAGTTGGAGAAGTTCAAAGTGGGACATTTTGGTCAAATATAACACTTACAGGTCATAGAATGGAAATCATTAGGTTGTCCTAAAATTAATGTGGAGCTCGTAGTCTCATTTTTGTTAGAAATTTTTTTCCGAATGCTATGCAATAAAATATCACTGCATGGCTCATTCTTGTGTGCCTTCGCTCTCTGTAGTCGAGCTATGCTATCGAACGTGTTTTTGGTAAATTTGGAGATAAGGATTTGAAATGTCAAAACACCAAAATTCGCCTCTACGGATTTAAATTCTTCCTTCATTAAGCCCAAATAACTCAAAACATCATTGATATATGGGGCACGAAAGTGTTGGCAAACTCACGGTGTAACGATAGTTTGAAAGATTTCATCATGGCGAATGCAACTTTGAAGATGAGGGAGATCGCAAATGTTTTCTGCACGACGATGATTTAAAGGACATGGTAGGAGTAAATACACGGAGAACTGTCCGAAAACTAGCAAAAGAACCTGTTTAAAGCGTTCACCTGTTTCGAAGCATCTGAAGGTATGTGGAAAGCGGAAGAAACGAGAAAAATGGGTGCCATGTGAATTGAGTGGCGGTCAAAGATGATGCCGTTTTGAGATGTCGTCGGCGATTCTTCTGCGTAATCAGCACAACACATTTTTCAGCCGCATTGTGACGTATGTCGATAAATGGGACTTCTTAGACACCCGACGTGTATCTGCTCAGTGGTTCGTCGGCGATGAAGCTCCATAGCACTTCTCAAGGCGGAAGCTGCACCAAAAGAAGGTTGTGCTGGCCATTTGACTTTGCTGCTGGTTTAGTCCATCACAGCTTTTTTAATTCATGTGAAATGGTTGCGGCTGAGAAGAAGAAGAGAAAGACAAAATTCTCAATGAACTGCAACGGGTGCCCTTCACATTGCTCAATAGACAGGCGCCAACATCTCTCGCTGGTTATATGCGGTAATACGTCGCACTACCGTCGTTGCAAAAGCTGAGTGAGCTGGACTATGGAATTCTGCTTCGTTCATTCTACGATCTCTCGCCTACCGGCTACCACTTATAAGGCATATCGACGACTTTACCAGAAATGATTCATAAACCAAGCCTACGCCGAAACTTCCTTTAACGACTTCATGCTCTCCAGAAATCAAGATTTAAGTGAAACCGTTATGAGCAAAATTGTTTCTCGTTCGCAGAAATGTGTAGATCCTGGTTTTTTTTCCTTTCATGTAGCAGGGTTTATTCTTAGTTGAGATGTGAGAGTTTGAAGGTGTAGGTCAAAATCGACGTTAAATTCAGGACAACCTAATGAGATCTAAAATCCAGCCAATATGATTGCAATTTAAAACGTGAAGTTTTCAGAAAAGCAAGTAATGTTAGGGGTAAAGTTCTCACTTATAATTTTTGTGCTGCTTGTGGATTGCATCTTCCATTTTTTAACAATTTTTCTTTAATACTTTGATACTTGTTTAGTTTTTCCTCTCATCAGGAATGCCGTCTACTACTGTTTGAGAAAAAAGAATGAAGTAAGTTTTATTCGCAGAGTTATAGCCGATGGAGCTGAATTATCCTATATGATTTATTCGCAGCCTCAAATAGGACTTGATCTCGCTCTCTCGGCAATGCAACTGCTAGTCAATCCAAACGAGTGCATCGTTTCTTCTCTCCATTCAGCTCTGTTCGCTGTTTGTATCCGCTTAAACAATGTTGATTCAGCACTGCCGTATATTTACAGAAATATCAGCGCCTTAGTTAATGAGGTGTAAGATAGTTTTTACTTTTTACTTTACTACTTTGCTTTTTCCGTAGCAACGAGTTAGCGCTATAATTATTTACCGTTGTTTTTGCATTGTACTAGTTTTGTATCCGTTTTTTTAAAATTTTAAATCAAACTTCACACAGAACGTTCCACCGACGTCAGATTCGTCAGTGGATGCGGCACAACAGGCTCGAAAGCAGCGTTCTGTACTAACTCAAGCGACACCTTGCTTCGAATCGAAGTATATGCTTTTGTACCTATACTATGGAGCGTTACTACTAATGAGATGTGTAAGCACCGTTCTGAACCTAAGCTTATAAGTACTGTGGTCATTTAATTCGCAACCTTCAGAACGAATTGCGTCGTGCTATTTCGCTTTTGGAAAGCGCTATCCTCATACCCGGTTCCGCCACTACGGTTGTTCAGTTGGATGCATTAAAAAAGTGTGATGGGATCAATCGCTGCTGTTTTAACTTCCGTCTTTCTTTGCTAATGGTGAATGAATTGCAGGTTTTATCTAGCAAGTTTGTTATATTCGAGAAAAGTGGTGATGCCCACCTCCATTTGTCGTTCATCGCCGTTAACACGAGCTTGGAAATTGATAGGAGAGCCATATACGGCGCTTGCTGCTGCAGCACAGTCTTCAGGTGACAAGGCTGGTGCAGTGGAAAAAGTGCTGAACGACAACAGAAAGGTTTTCACCGAGGTGTGCTTCTTCTTTCTTGCCGTATTCACTGCGTAAAACAAATGATGCGCTCACTGGTCCTTCCTAGGATGGAGCTGTTGGCCTTATCATGCGGATTATTCGAGAGCTTCGTCACAGTGCAGTTCTTTCAGTGGCAAAAGTCAGTGAATAGTATTTTCTTTTCTAGATTCCTGACTAAGTAATTGTATCCTTGCAGTCTTTCTCGTCTATTCCGCTCAGTGAGTTGGCTTCTAGGGCGTATATTGACAACGATGCAGCAGTAGAGATAATGGAGGTTTCATTTTTCTTCTTCCTTCGCTTCATTTTGGTCTTGTTGTCGATAATGCTGTATTTAGACGCTGTTTAAACAAGGTAAGTTGCTAGTAGAGGTTTCTATCAGTGAAGGTATCGTAAGACTGGAGGTCGTACCGGAGAAAGTTCACAATGATGATGTCGTTACAAAATTTGGAAGGTATTGTTCTCTTAAGAAATGACATATTATCTTTCTTTTCACTTTGAACTATTCTATTTTTTTATTTTTATGTGACCCGTCTTTGCGTCTGCTGTGCGGACCCACAGAACGTCACACAATCGCTTCGTTTCCTCGCATTCATTTTCCACGAAGACCTTCCAACTTTTACGTGTGTCTTCGGCTACCGCTTGAGGATTCTCATTTTATTTTGAATGCCGTAGATTGATGGTCGAGTCCTTGGTTAACCGGGCTGAAGTGTTCCCCACTCCCCCACCGGCTTGGAGAGTGATTTTTTACTGGAGAAGTCTGCTATCACCTTTCCGACTGTAGGAATGAGAGACTTGCTTGTCACGGAGCGGAATTGAACTTGTACCATGCTCGTGCTGAACGACATCACTACCACTATTCTATCCACCCCATGAATTATTCTATGTGAAATGAGTATCAATAGAAGCCAATCTTACAGCAGTAAATGTGATATAACTCGTATATAATGCTGAGATATTTGCAAAACTCCGGACCGCAGGTGTATGCAGTGGGGAACGAAAGCGCACTATTGTCCTTTTCGGGGAGTAGCTCACTTCATCACCGCACCATCCGGGTCCTTCGTTTTGCCTGTCTCTCAGCTAGTTCTATTGATCTGTTGCCATCAGCAATCACCCGTCAACGGGAATCCCGTTGACGGGTGATTGCTGATGGCAAAAGATCAATAGAACTAGTTGAGAGATAGGAAAAAAAAACAGTAAATAAAAGGGTTAGGAATGAATGTGATAGTTTAGCGTATTTTTCTTTGTTGTGATGTTAAGGCTAAATGTATTGCTACAAGAAATGGAAAGACTGGAAGCTCTTGCTCAATTGCACCCAGCATTGCTGCAGAGATGCTTGAAACCTGCAGCACTATTGACATACTCTTTTCCTAACAACGAGGATGAAGGACTAGGCATGACAAGTAGTCCTTTGGAGTACTGAGATACACCTGTCTTTGCGGCAATATTTTGAGGTGGTGTCCTTACCGTTGTAGATTTGATCTTGTGGATTTTCTTTGATTGTAAAGGCTAACAGGATTTCCAGATACAACTTTGTTGCCTTGTTAATCAGGTGATTTAGAATGTGAACTGTACACTGACTGGTATTTCAAATTGAAGTTAATGTCGTAACGAAATCTTCCAGTTTTTTATCTTGTCGAATTTCGCTCTCTTTCAGGACTGTATTTATCTTTAATGAGGTAATGGTAAATTTCTCTAGAGTTGATTAGTCCATCTTTAATTCTTTCTAAATTCATTGACTATTTGCTTGTTGCTGAATAATTCGGGTCTTTTTTCCGTCGATATTATTATGGCATTCTTGAATAAATTTTTCTTGTCTGTTTTGTATCAAATAAGACTATATGGCATATTCCACTTCTATTCCATTGCCATGTTATCGTTTGTTGTGTACCTTGAATTCATAGGCACTTACCACATCGAAGGCTGTACAAGTCCTTCCATGTTCTAAACGTTGGTGGTTATTCTCGTCATGTTTTATTAATACCTTTAGGTTTTCGTGTTCCAGCGTAGGCGGCCCGTCCTCACTGGTTGTGTCCCCACAGCATAATTGTCATTCCCCGGAGGTTTGCGGGTTTAGCCACTGTGGTTCCGTGTTTTCCCAAAGACAGACTCGCCAAAGTCTGCTCCAGGTCGTCACCACCACAGGCAGTTGCCGACTTTGTGTATTAGAGTGAGGTTAGCCACCACGCAACTATTTCGAAACCGTGACTGTGGTGGATCCTGTCATTGGTTTATTCTTAGCTGGATTTCAGGATGGAAACGCCGGACTCCTCAGTTTGGGAGACTGCCAAGGGGGATGAATCCCACCACTGTACATCGTAGTCCGATACCCAGGAACACCTCACAGTCACGACGAGGCGGTAAGCTGTTAGGAGGGCTCTATAAATAGGTGGAGTAAATCTTCCATGAGGTCTTTCCATAACCTATGGCGTTTGTATCCCACTGTTACTTAGCCTTATCATCGTAGTAAACGGTTGAGCAGGTGATCTCGGAGTGTTGTGCTAGGATTGTTTTGTTCAATTTTTGATATGTTCGCAGTATGTTGTGGTATCTTAAGTTTCTTCCTCATCTTAGGAAGTCTAAAAAACCTTTTAATCTGAAAACGAGTGTGAGAATTGATAGCGTGGTTTAGAAGTAAGTTATCGTAAAGTTACACCGGGCATGGAAGTTTCCTCTCTATGGTTGACCAAGTCATCTTGGGAATTGTTTATTTCAGAGTGTTTAGATGAGGTGCGTAGTACGGGGTTCGTTCCTTCGGGATTTCGTACTTGGATACTTTGAGGGGCTGTGTTCACGAGTTGTGCGGGCCCTAACACATTTTCCACTCATCTCTTTCGTCGTCCATGGTGATGTCGTGATTCGAGCATAGTGGCAGGTAGAACTCTCATACCGTGATCTATAGAACAATTGCAGCTGCGAGTAGAGCTGAATGATTTTAGTTACGAAGCGTCCGCCCAATGAACCTGCAGAGCTGGTCATCATAGTGGGGAGCTGAATCTTCGTGAGGTCCATTCTACAGTTCTTTCCGTCTATCTGTTGGCTGTTCTTATATGACCGACCCATCTACGTTTTGTGATCGATGTGTTTCCTCCTGGGTCTTCAAGATGAGATTGATTTCGAAGATCAGAGTTTCGCATTCCGACCAAATGTGTGCCGGTTATATAGAAGACATTATTGATACACGCTTAAGTGATAGTGCTACCAAAGCATTGGGACCGTTATACACTGTCAACCAGAAGGTTGGTTAAAAGAGACCCATACTAGAGTTTCGATGTTCTTCGTGTTCCTATGTAGGCGAATCACTGCTATACGGTTCTAACCCGCGACATGGACAGGTTCACTGACTCTAATGGGTGGCTAGCTAAGCAATTTGCTACTTAAAACGGTTTATTTATCATCATTACTTACTTGGATTCTTGGAGGGGCCGGTTTCACTGGTTGTGCGGGACCCAGCACAATCTCAATTTTTTCGACATTTTGCTGGCTTAACCATCCTGCTTCTCTGAAGTCCCGAGGTATGCCTGGCCAAAGTCTGCCCCAAGCCGTCACCAACATAGGCAGTCACCGCTCTTTTGGATCAGAGGGAGATTTGCTAGTGACTAGTTTGATACCAGGACGGTGGTGGATCGGTATTGGTTTACTCTTAGCTGGGTTTCCTGGTGGAAACACTGGCCCTCCTCTTCTTGGGAGACCCTGCCTGGAGGATATATCCCCCGGTATAAATCATAGCCCGAGACCCAGGAACTCCTCTCAGCCACAGTGATTCGGTGAACCATTGGAAGGGTTTATCGCTTCTCAGTCTTTTGGTTAAGATCAAAGTTTACTTTAGTTTACTTTGGTTATTTAGTTTATGGTTCAGTTTATTTTAGTTCAGTTTATCGTCCAGTTGGTTTCCTGTGCTCAGATGTAATTTTACTTTGGATTTCAGTTGTTAGAGAGTGTCGTGTCCAGTTCTGTTCTTCGAATAACCTCTGTAATATTAACTGTTCCCTAGAAAACATTCCCATTTGCAATGCCTTATATGCTCATCTCAACACAAATTCGTCTTGAAGTGGGACCCACGTTTGTTGGAGATGGTTACAGCGATAAGGGACTTATGGAAAAACTAAGGGCGAAGCCTTCGCAGCAACTTGGAAATGAATTTGTGGTAAGATCCATCTTCTCCATGGTAGTTCGTAGTTGGATTTGAGACGTTTAGGAGTACATGACAGCGTTGGCTCCTCGACAAGTCCTCGATATTTTGGAAAGTGAAGGTTGGAAAGTGGTCGGAATGGCCGGTATTGGCCAAACATGTGCATGGACGCTACATAGAGCCTTTTGATATTATCTTGGTTTCAATGTCGTCTTCTTCTTCCATGTGCCTTACGTTTCGATTTTTGTAATAAAGATTTCTACGAACACCATCTCAATTCTTTGTATATCAGTCAACTTCATATCTGGTCCATTCTATCTAAAAATTAGCTAACAGGATAATCTTTGCAGGTGTTCTGCTTAGCTGCGTGAATGAGCGAGCTATTTTCCCAGTTTTGATTTGGGCTCTCCTCCTTTCTACATCGAATGGTATGTGGCGAAGTTCGATAAGTATTTTCGAGATCTCCCGTCTTGTACTTTTTGTTTTAGATGTGTTTTCTTCTGCATTTCTCCACATTTTCCTATCAAGCACTTTGTTTTATCTTTCATAAGTCGTAATTATATATATGTTTAGGTTCAAACGTCTACACTGGTGAAGATTGCAGCTGGTGGTTTCTTGATTGGATCAACAGCGTTATATTTGGCTCAAAAGTCTTTACAGCGAAGAGTGCGAAGTCTACCTCATTACACAGAATGTCTAGAGATCGTGGCTAATCACGATCGTGCTAGAGTGAGCAGGTTTATTCGTATCTTGTTTTAACCCTGTTATATGTGCTTCCTGCTTAAATTTGCTATAGATCTAATTTTTTTCCTTTGTATTCTACATAGTGTTCAGTAAAAATAAAGCTGTTGGCGTTGATTTACGCCTTAGGGATGCGCCATACATTAGACTTCATTAATCATCGTTGGAGGCGATTGAATGCATACCTGGCCTTTACAATGACTCGCGGTACGCAACTGGTGTATCGAACCATTGCTTCCATCCTCCCAAATCAGTCTTGTACCAGTTTAGCGGCACCAGAGGAAAGGAGGCTGGTGAGCGTGGGTCGCGGAGATCGGTCCCATGTGTATTGCAGTACACCTTCGGCCGCTGCGCTACATGCGCCCAAGAATCAATGATAGGGTGCTGAAATCGAAGTGAAAATCTTTTACCCATAAAACTTGCAACGATGCGTTTTCAGAGTCGTTGATGTTGTTTGATGACGATTCGTCCGTAAGTCTGTAATTTTCAAAACACGTTTGCAAATGCGATGCGGTTTGGAAAAGAAACAAAACCTATTATCTGGAATAGAAATCTGTGGATATTACAGGAGGCATTGGGGAAACCCATTCAAATCGGCTCAGTTGATATAGCCGATCGGAGGCACAATTTCGTAGGCAAGACTACAAGTATGGTGAGTAAGAGTGCTTCATTGAGCAGAATCTGCCATTTTCTAAAATGTTTTTTGCGTTTGTAACAGCTTTTAATTACTTTTTACGTGATTTTTTTTGTAACACTTTGTAAAATTTCTTTAGTTGCGAATCCCGGTGGCAGGATCGGTATCATCTGGTTTTCTGGACGTTATGGCCATTAGAGAAAATGAAAACTCTCCGTTTAAAACAGCGATAATAAGGTCCTTTTAGCATTCTGCTTTCAACACTATGCATTATTAGTTTGGAAGACATTTCCCAGCGCTAGTGACATGACCACCTTTGTAGGCTCGTAATGGACGAGAGCGCTGTTTCTATCTACGACACTGGTAAATGGGAAGACAGTATAGAGACATTGGCTCAGAATTAGTCCTTTAGTTAATGCATCGTGCCTTTCTTAGGTTTCATATTGTCATGGGCCCCATGCAATAACTGTTTGGTTTGGTTTAGTAAAAGAATGATTAATACTGCGTCTTGGTTGTTTTTGTTCCTAATCAAATACCTTTCGATATCTTTTCTTGTTGAACTTTGTTTTTATGCTCATTAATTTGTCAGCTCATAGGACAGATGTTCAGAATGGTTGCTTATGAGTTCATCGAGACTATGCAAGGTGTGTTTCTGCTAAAGTCTCCTATGGAAGCTCGTTCATATTTCGTGGTTGCTTTTGGTAGAGTTACTGTGTGTTACTTTCAGATATTGCTTGGCCTGAATTTCTTCAGCCTCATGTTGAGGTTCTGTTGTTATGGATTACTTGGGCTGTGGATTACATTGACCTGGACTACTTAGAGGTTTGCAATGGAAATGTTTATTTTATTTGGGAACATTGCCGTAAATGTTAGTAGAAAATTACATGTTGATGGAAACTATTATTTCGTTGTGCAGTTGGTGATATATTCCTTGTATTTCTGTTATGCACCAGCTTCCTTTGTTTTACAGCTTTTTTCATTGGGAATGGTGAGAATACTATAGAGTTGATCATAAAGGTTATTATTTCATACCTTGCATTTGCTTCAATGCGTCAGATTCTTTGCTCAATAGTGATTGCATGTGTAGTCTTGTTATATCGTGTTCTCACTGCTCCAAGATGCTCTAAGAGCGTCATAGCACTTGTGAGTTTTGTGGCCTTGTGAAAGAGAGAATCATTTTATTAACTGGTTATTTTATGCCTCCTAACGAATTGTCGCCTCATCAGGGCTAGGAGTTGTTGCTGGGTATCGGGCGATAGATGTACAACGGGTGGATTCATCCTTCCAGCGAGGTCACCTGAGAAGGAGTCCAGCTTTTCCATCAGGAAGCCTAGTTAAGAGCAAGCCAATACCAGAATCCACCACCGTCCTAGTGTCAAACTAGTCACATGTTGGCAAATCTCCTTCTGATCCACAATGGCGGCGAGTGCCTGTGGTGGTGACGATCTGGGATAGGGTTTGGCTAAACTGACCACAGAACTCCAGGGAACCACAATGGTTAAGCCAGCAAAACTCCGAAATAATGGAAGTTATGCTGGGACCCATGTGGCCAGTGAAAACGAGTTATCCAATGAAGTAAATATCTTTATGAAGCCGTTCTTTTGCGTTAGCATCTATTAGTCTTGCACACTTGAGATAGTAATCAACGTTAGGCCTTTCGAGCGGGGTGCTGACCATTCTGCTGTACGGGTTGGTAAATATTTTAACTCTGTCTTTATTTTTTTTAATCGATTCAGCATTACAATTAGCTTATTATGTCGTTGTTTGTTGTATTTGTTGGATCATAAAGAGAAGAAAAAGCTCAGTTCGTATGTCATTTAACGTTGTTAACATGTTCCTTTGTTAAATGAAGGCAGTTTTGTGCAACATATAGTTCGTTTCATTCTCTCCTCGTCGACGTATTGGTTAAACGAATTTCTTTTCTCTCGCTTTTTGAGAAATTTGATGTGGTGTTATGGTTATATCGAGTATATGGCCTTTGGATTTACTAGAGGATTTATTTAGTAGTGAGTCAAAAGAGGTAATTTATAGAATACATAACATGTTAGTTTTCCATTGCATTTCGAGGAACCTTTGTTTTTTCAGTATTTATTGTGGCTATTCCTTCCAATTATCACAATCTTCGTACTACCCGCCTTTATCGTTCTCTTCATGTATGGTTGTGTAATTTTCATTCATATCTATGGATTGCGTCATCAAATTCGTGCAGCCTATAATACGAGTTACTGGAATGGAGCTCGGATCGCTATCACCTCATTTTGGGATGCTGTTGGATACGTCTGGCATGGTTTGGTTCTTTTATAGTTTCCATTCAATTCTTTAGACAACGCTTAGGTTCATGGTGTTGAACCTGGATGTGTTAAATTTGTAGGCCTCTAGTGGAAGTGTTCTAGGAAGGTCTAACCTAAGCTTCACATAGATGGTGGTGTGTTTAAATTTCTGGCAAAGTACTCACGTTTGGATTCACTTATTATTGCACTAAGTATTCATCTTGAAAGGTTTTTCCTTACTTTTCTAGAGAACGCTAGCCATCTTTCAACCAGTTCACCTATATAATAAATGTACTTCTTGCTCATAAGTGACCATTTTGAAACTATGTTATGATAGAAGCATTCAAGCAGTTCGTTTTTACTTTTAGAAATGTGAACTCGAGGAAAAATCTGATAGATTTGAAACATAGAAATGTTCTTTTGTGGTACAAAGTGATGCAGTATACCTTTTATGGTTCTTTCAAATTAGTTGTAATAACTTTCCAACTAAACGGTGAAATAGAAGGATGGGAAGTAAAGACTATGCAGTACTTCACTGCTTTTACATTCAGGTTACGAATTACGTGGTATTGAAAATGTACCCGACGAAGGTTCTGCTCTCTTCATTTATTACCACGGATGCCTTCCGTTGGATGTCTACTATCTTATCGCTAAGCTAATCCTATACAAAAATCGAACGCTCCATTGTGTCGGCGATAAATTTATATTCAAAATTCCGGGTACTAACCAGCAGTTAATTTGCTACTTGCGGATGTATCTTTGTATTCTCAATCCTTAGGCTGGAGTGTGATCTGCAAGGTTTTCTCTATCACAGCAGGTACTGTTGAAGAATGTACTAGCCAATTGAAAGACGGTAACCTTCTGTGTATAGCACCTGGAGGTTGGTTCCGTTAGATTGTCCAGTATTTTTCAATCGTCCTTTTCTTTCCAATTGTTTGGAATTCTTGATGTTAGTTATATCTTTCCACTCATTTTAAAGGCGTTCGCGAAGCACTTTTCTCTGATCCAAATGTGTACGATATCTTATGGGGAAAACGACTTGGATTCGCACGAGTTGTGATAAACTCAAGAGCGGTTGGTTTTTCAAAGTCAATATGACCAACGCTTCTATTTTATAATCCTAACTGATTCGTTATATTGGTGTAAATTTACGCCTGGTTAATTTTTCCCCATATTTTACTCCACATACTCTTACAATTGTGGATTCAGTGAGAGCAGTACAAACAATATTTGAGAATACTGAGGTTTTTTTTGAAATTGTGATGAAGGTTGAGGACATCCCAGTTATTCTTTTCCACGAACGCAACTTCTTATGAAACTTTTTACTGGTTTTCAAAGCATTTTTTTTTTCGTTGTGCCTATCTACAGATGTCATTCATTTGCACCCTTTGCACCTAAATAGTGGAGCGGTAGTCTATAGTGCTGCCAACAATCCCAGTAAACATGGGTCATATCAATTGTTTTTTCTCGAGCTTGTCGCATAATCACCAAATATAGAGTTCCAACAGGAACACTGTAACCTGCTCAATATCAACACAAATGTGGTCACTAATACATAGGCAAAGTTACGAGTTATACGTGACTCACCTTATTCTCTTTGCTGTTTGTTTTGTCGTATTTATACGTACGTGTTAGATAGCTTTTCCATCACAGAAATTCTACTAAGCATCGTCTGAGAACAACTTTATTCTAGGCCTAATACTATGAAAAAAAAACTGTTTTGCCTACAAATGTGCTCATCTGACAGAGTATTGCGATGATCTCTTTGCATGCCATACGGACTATTTCTAGACGCCAGGCTATTGCTGGGCGGAGGATATTCAAACATGTTTGGAATTCAACTACAGTGATGCTGAGATATTTCGAAACTCCAGACCCCAGGTGTCTGGGGTGGGAATCGAACACGCTATTACCCTTTCCGAGGCTAACGCGTTCACCACCACACCATGCCGGTCCTTCGTTTCGCGTTTCTCTCAGCTAGTTTTCTATTTAACGGTCTCATTAGCACTGGGTTAACTGGGTTCAGTGCCGATTTGTGCTTCCCAGATCAATCCGGTTGATCGATGGATGGTAATGAGACTGTTAGGTAGAAAACTAGCCGAGAGAAAGGCTAAACAAAGGAACGATAAAAAGTTTTGCCTATTTCCAGTCCTTCAAAGCCAGTAGTCTTATTGAGCTGGTGCAGGGATCCATTATGCCTCAGCATACATCATAATAATCTCCTCATTTCCATTTGAGCACCGTTACAGCCTTCAGTTCTGTTATTCCGTTTTCTGCATTCACCTACCCACACCGCAGCGTCTGTTTCCAACTAGCTTGGTCGTTCCTCCCTCTTCAACCTACATATGTTAATCGAGTCTTATGGAGGAAGTTGTCATTTATCGAAACACTTGAATGACAATTTTCAGTGGAAATAGGGCTTTTTCATACAGTAAACTCTTTATGAGCTCTATCACTATCGACTCGGCTGTTTTTCCGGTCCTAGAAGCGTTCTTACCTGCATAGATCATAATTCTACATAAATGCGTCTCGTAAACGACATATTGGCAGACTAAAATTCTTTCTCTAAGAGCCAAAGAAGTACTGCACATGTCTTTTCCAGGTCTTTTATTCTGCTGCGTTTCCTACTAAAAAGCTCAACAATAGGTTTAATATTGTGCAACCTGTCCAGGCCGACATTGCATAATTCGTTAAATGTAGGTGAGCGGAAAGCTTCTTAAACATGGTTGTTGTCATAACACAACTCCAATCGGATATTTATGATAGATCGGACTGTGAGCCATTCCTAATAGTTGTTTATTCCAAGCTCTACTTCTAAATGGAAATCATGATGTCTTTAATTTGAGAAGCGGTATTTGAAGGTGATCCTTCAACTGGAACATCGCGGTTCACTATCTGTGGGCGGCAATTATAAGGCGATAAACCACTAGGTGAGGTGCCCGTTAATAAGTGATTCAAAGAAAAGCAGTGCTGTTTCTCTACATTCAAGCAGAAACTGTTCTGCAGTTTACTCACATTGAACCCAGTTGTTTCAAGGAACAGCATTAATCGTCCTCCGACATCGTCCTTATCATCTTCATTGTAATCAGTAAGTTGAATTCATTCGAAATCCTTCACCGGCTGAACAAAAGGTTAAAGATCATTTTTCTCAGCGTCATTAGCGTCTTCACTTGGGCGAAAATAAGGTTCAACTTGTTTTCCACTAACGTAATTCAAGCTTGTTAAATTCAGTTTTTTCTTGTAACGATATCACTATATGACCCGTAGTCCCATTATCGTCGGGTGACTCGAGCGGGCGCCGGTAAATCTTCCATTTTTCCCTGTCGCGTGCAAGAGTAGCCCGGTGGGTTCTCCTCACTCTAGGGACTCGTTGAGCACCGTACTTTTCTTCTAGAGTTTTCGTAAAGAACTCTGACCATCGTGTTGGTGGTCTTCCTGCAGTATGTTTGACACCGCTAGGAATCCAGTCACTAACGACTCTTGTCCATCGGTTGTCGTTCATACGTATTGTGTGTACGGTCTGCCCTATCTTTTCCACATTGACGTATAGAACTCTCCTTCTATATCGTCATGATGTATATGAGCCACTAGTGCAATGGTTAGAGATGTCTTGTAACCACGTCCATGGGTAAACAAACTCCCAATACGTTTGAGGTCGGCAGATTGATAGTTGTCTGGAATAATAAGAGCACTGAACTGACACAAATCGAAGGGCTCTGCAAGTCATTGTATGGGTTAAATATGTGTTCAGTAATCGCTAAGGTGTTTATTGGAGTCGAATGAATGGTTAATCCATCAGGAGTTGATCAACCCTGAACGTATTATCCTTTATCCACTTATGATGTTTGATGGGAAGCATGTGAAACGCGTTGGTATTTTTTTTTGCTTTATGTAAGCCCGTATTCTCATCTGTTGTGCAGATACCAGCACTTCTCACATTTGATCCGCTTCTACGCATCCATCATCCGCCAAGGCCATCCTACTTTTGTGTATGATTTCGATTGCTGTTTGAGGACTTTCATTTCATCTTGAATGTCGTAAATTGCTGCTCGAGTCGATTCTCACTGGAGTCCTGAGATAGCTAAAGCATTCTTATTGTATAGAGTGACTTTCCAGACAAGTCCGCGCCAATTTCTTGATCCCTGAGCTATAGGAGGCTTGGTGGTACCGCGGCGGGTTCGAACTAGCACCGCGCTCTTGACGACCAACATCACTATCACTGTGCTATCCGCTCCTAACGTATTGATACTAGAAAAAATTGGAAAACTGAATTGTACATATGTTGTGAAACCTATTACTAATGACCGACGAGGCTGGTGCTGGATAGGATTTTGTATATTTAAGAACTAGCTGAGAGACAGGCGAACCAATGGACCCGCATGGTGTGGTGGTGAACGCGTTACTGCCTGGGAAGGACAATGGCGCGTTCGTTCCCCACCGCAGGCACCTACGGTTCGGAGTTCTGCAGATATCTCAGCACCATCTTAGTTGTGTTTCACATCATATCCTGCCGTTAAAAATTATGGTAGGCAGTGAATGAAAAGGTTAAAATTTTTTATATCATAGAAGGCATGTGTAGGAAGGAACGAATTGTTGCAAAAGTGCTTGGAAAAACAATGACGACACGAGTGTAAGAAAACCTTATTACACTGTGTTTTTGTGTGCAAACAACATTAGGGGTCAAATGTGATCCGCACGTAATGCGGTGAGGAATGTTGCGCCGTTAAAAGTGTCTTTATCGGCTGTTTTACAACAATACAATACGTCAGGACACTGGCAGCGAAGATGTGGGACATGAAGGGCGAACTGTTTAATGAATAGGAGGGCTATTTTATGTTTCGTTTTCTTTTATCCCAAAGGACCATAGAAATAGTTTACCAATTTTTCTGAAATGTTGGTTGTACGAGCAGGACAACCAATAGTGCCATTCGGTAGCAATCAGCCATTTTAATGTATGCTAAGTTTTCATTAAAGTAATCATATTTCTATTATGTGCACTGTGAAATGGTACTTACGGAATATCACTGGGATCACTTTCACTCTAGCTAAAATTTAAGGACAGATGTTTTCTTTCTGGTTGAGGTGCCTATTGAACTACTGAGAATGTATCTGATGCTATGTATTATATTATCTACGTGATAAAATAGACTAAATGAAAGGAAATTTATTTGAGTCGATACATTCCATCAACGTAGCCATACTCTGATACATGCATTAAAATCAATACATTGGTCCATGTCATGTGTTGATTTCTTCTTATTTCAGCCAGTGATTCCTATGTTCACAGAGAACTGTCGCGAGTCTTTTCGAACACCGGTTTGGGGACGGAACTTCTTTCGGTGGATTTATGAAAAAACTAAGGTGCCTTTGTGTCCTGTTTATGGCGGATTCCCGGTCAAAATGATTACACACCTCGGCAAACCGATGATATTTGATTATGACAATGTTTCTCCAGAAGAGGTACTATTTTTTAAAATGTATTTGGAATTGTCCGACTATTTTGAACCCGTTCATTATACCTCCTTCTAAAGGTTCGTCGTCAAATAAAACGAGAAGTACGAGCACTAATACGACAGCATCAACGTTTACCAGGTAGTATTCTGAGGGGAATCGCACAACGATTCCGATCCGGAAGACAATCGCGGCAAAGAGAAGAACATCCGGAACAAATTGTAAGGAATTTTTTAGAACATCGTTTTGTGATTATTTGACGGTTCTTATCATTTGTGGTAATGTATTTTGTGCTAAACATGGACAGCCTTTCTGCGAGTATTACTTGTCTACTTGAATGGTCCATGGAAAAGAAGAATCGCTTGGGCGGTAGTACTGTTTCCTTATGACTTTTAATTCATTCGCTAGGCAAGATCTCCATGGAGTCTTGCAAATCACCCGACGCTGGGATTTTTCTTATGGTTTGTTGCATGAAGGGCAGTAATCCTTGCCACCAGTTTGCCTTTAGTTGGAATTACCCGATGAAAATTTATCTCTCTCTCTCATTTAGGACGGGGCTGAAGCTGTTGGGGTTAATCGCCAAAAGCAACAAAAATTGAGGTCTCATTACCATTGCCACACTAGAGCAACTGATACGACCATATTGGAATGTGGAGAGACTACTAAAATTTGAGAGCTGTTCTGACTGCATAGATTTAGAAGGGTTCTGGTGGCAGTATGAACTTGTAACACACACACTACCATATGGAACGCAACTTCAAGGAGCCGTTGACAGTTAAACTGCACGAAGCGCGAAGACACCGCCCATCAGTCGCTCTTTATTATCGCAGAAAAGAACTGTTCTGCAGAACTTGCGATTAGAGGAGTTGATGTATTTAAGAACATGAGTTAGGTATTGAATATCTATTCATTTGAATAACTAATGGCCCATATCGGACGTTTACAGCTGATATCATGTGAAACAATGGCTTTTTTAGAAGATGCCGTCTACGTAAGCATTTTGTTTCGAATTAGAGAAACTCTGCAGAGAAAGACATGCCTTTTACGGGTTCATCATTGACGACTTTAGTGCCTGGGTTAAATCCAGTAAATATCTGAAGTGGTTGGCTTTGAGACCTAAGGATTGAAACTGAACAAATAGGTTATGTGGCTGCGTAAGTTTATCATGATGACCAAGGACATTCATGGTAACATCATAGTAAGCTGAGAATTTCGTCTACTTCTCTGTGGTGGATTTCTTAGAGTTTTACACAGGATCGGGTTATTGAATTCTTCGCGTTCGCTTGTCTTTTATTCATAGTAATATTGCAGCTGAGCAACTCATGAGGCGAAAATCAAGACTACTATTAACTGATTGATTCGTTAATTTTTTTACTGGTTTTTAAGGTGATGCTTCCGTCAAAGATAGTATGAAATACCACCAATTTATTCAAGAATTTCACAATTACCATAGAAACCAAGATTTTAGAACGCGGAAAAAATCATGTGTTTTTTCAAGCCCTCGAACTAATACGTGGTCTCGAATCCACAACGCATGTTGTGTTTCTATTTAGCGAACAACTGTTTAACACCTAGGCCTCATCCAAACATCGGATCAACTTACCGGCTTTTCTCACATAACCTATGAGAATTCAAGGTTCCAGGTCAAAAAGAAAATCAGCAGGCCGTGTTATTTCACAACAAAAGTGGCTTAAACAACATCGGTGGCTATGCCACAATCTGCTTCGTGCCTGTTTTTTGTAAGCTTTCACTTAAGTTATCGTTAACAGTGTTGACAGAGCCCTGGACGAAAGACAGCCACACGAGCAAGTAATGTATTGAAAAGATTTTGGAATGATTGGTTGTGCCTATACTGCGATTAAATTCAGGGACACATTACGAGGATAAAAGTTCAAAGTCCACTTCATTTGTATCATCTTACCAGAAAGGCTGTAGACTTTCTAGAGATAGAGGTAGACATGGAAACTCGGAGCGTTCTGTGTATAGAAAGATAAAGAATGAAGTTTTCGGCGTTGATCAATCCCTGAGGGATGCGTCATGCATTCGACTTCAAGCATCACTGGACGTGATTGAATATCTAGTGTTTACATTGACTCGCAGTGGCCTAGCGATGTATGGAGCCAGTGATGCTCTCCTCCCAGACAACTCTGACACCAATTTTTCGACCCTTGAAGGTTAGAAGTCTTTGTGAGGCTTGGGCTTGGAGATCGATCCTATGTGTAATGCAAGGCGCCTCCGACCATTGCGCTACACGCGCTCCGGTTTATAAGGATTGTAAAGCTGCATAGCTTATGTGCCTGTTCCATATGTCCACTGTTCTAATCCTGTTATTTTTCCCTGCTTCAATTTACATCGCAGAAGGCTAGTGGTTATGTAAAAGGAATGAACGATCACTCAGCGTCAAATGTGCTATCGAGGATGATACTAGTATCTCATATCACACAAGTGAGCTAGGGTGTTCGACGTTTCCACTCGCGTTGGCGATCAAAAATCGGAGCTGCTGCCCCTAATGTTGTTAAGATGTCTAAAACAAAATATACCGGGGTACGTGGTGCATCTTAATAGCTGTTAGAAAAGGGCGTTTAGCGATAGAGTTCTCGCTAATTAGATGCAACAGCAATGCAATCGATCTGGTGCGCTAACGATTTCGTGGAGATCCGAGAAGAAATGTCGTTCAAATTCATGTGGAGCGAACATAGGTTACTCTTACGCGTTCCAGGAACGGTAGCAAATCACTCGAATCACCACTAGGTGGCCAATTAGATGACGGCTAGTGCAGGTGATTTGACAGGAGCACTCAATGACTCGTCCCAAAGAAGTCTATAGCGCTCTTTTCATCTTTTCAAAACCACTCAGATTAATTACTAAAATTCGGTATAGGTTAGTGGTCTTATATAGTTCTTGGTATGCTATCGTTTCTTATTAAATATTTCGTTTCATTTTAAAATCATATCGTGTTGTACCACTTCGAACATCGACCACGTCAAATTAATTTTATATTGAATTTAATGTTTCTGAGGTTTATTACTTTCTAGCAGCCAATATGTAATATGCGAGGTTTATTTGGTAATGTTTGATACCTTGTAATAATAGGAGCTTCTAAATCAAGCAAATGGTCAATCGAACGGTGCAACTACGCAAGAAGATCTTCCAGTCACGCACGAGTTGACAACATAGCTTGAGAGAATGTTTGCTACTTAATCGAGCATGTTATCTGCGATATCCGGTTTGAAATACTCGTTTCCTTGATCTTATTATTTTCATGTTTCTACATTGTTACGTTGTAGTTAGGAACTGCTATCATTAACGCTTAGGGTACGAGATGATTTGATTTCCACACACACGGTCCGGAAACAACGGCCACTTTCAATTTTAAATTAATTATCTCAGCTGAAAGTTGACTTTATTAATCGGAATGGAGACTATTGGAATGTATAAATCTTTGCTTACAGGATAAAGCAATCAGGTTTTACCATGCTAGAACTTTGAATTTCTCGAGCCTATTAAATGTAGCTTGTACAATTTTTTTTTGTTGAGGCTCATATTTCGAAAATGAAAGCAGCTGAAGAAGCAGTATTTTGTCCATTAGAGCGCCGTGGTTTCCTCAAATGCGCTGTTGATGTTTATGGCTGTTAGGATTTCGTTTGGGCTCTTAAAAATTTAAGTTTCCTTTTCATTTCGTTTGGAAATTCAAATTCTTAACAGCTTTAGAAGTCAAACAGTATCTTCAAAGAACCATACTTTTATGTAGACAGAGCAAAATCTGTTATATAAATCGACCACGTGTTCTAGTTATCGAAAAATTACGAGCAGTTTATGAAAGATCAGCTCCGGGCCCAAAGCGTTAGTTTTAGGAGGCGAGAGTGATTAATTTGGTAACCAACTTAATCAGGTTTTCTTTTCAACTTTCCAAATTTCCTAGTGTGCTTTTGTAGATTTAGTAGGAGATTTTCGCAATGTTACTGTCTTTAGGACATTAATATGAAATTCAATAGGTCTTTCTCATAGGTTGATTAAAAAGGTGACGCTTAGCTTATAAAGTTCTACAGAAATTGTTCATTTCCAACATTAGTTCAGTTGGCTAATCCCGAAAGAGTTCTTGTTTCCTTAACGTTTAAAATCGACTTTCCCTTCTCTGAAAGAGCTTTTTTAGAATAATAACATACGACCATTATATATCGATTTCGGTTCGTCTATGTTATTCTACCCACGAGTGCTTTCCTGCCAACTGTGTGTTACAGTTACACCATGAGTGATGAGAGTATCATAAAATTCATTTCCGTTATAAAATTTTACACTTATTTTTTCGTTTTTTGATTTTCATTTGATTTTTAAGGTATCTCGGTAAAGTATGCAGTACTTGGTTCACCTTTAAAGGTTGACAAACATTTTCACATTTCCATCCCGAGGTATAGTAGTTATGATTAGACAGCGCAAGGAACCACAGACATCTTTGTAGAAGCCTGTATCATTTATGCCAAAAATTGCTGTAGAAAGTCTATCATGCTGAAGTATACTTATTTGGATACTTGGATGACATGTCTTCACTGGTCATTGGTCCCCCAGCATAATTTCCATTTTTTCGGAGTTTTGCTGGCTTAGCCATAATGGTTTTCTGGCGTCCCGAGGTCAGCGTAGCCAAAGCCTGTCCCAGGTCGTTATAACCGCAGGCAGTTGCTACCCGTGTGGGTCAGAAGGAAATTTGCCACAATGGACGTAGTTTGATACAACGGTGGTGGATCCTGGTATTGACTTACTCTCATAGGTTTCCTGATGGAAACGATGGTCTTCGTGACGCATACTGAAGTATATGTTCTATTTCTAGGTATGGAGCAATGCAATCGATTTTTATTCCCCACATCGCCATTCCCACAACGATTCCAAATATTTTTCGTATTAATCATGTATAAAATCTGGGGAATCAACGTTTAGACAGTAGCATGGGCTCAGTAGATAAAGTGAGGAGTTCGACAACACGGTGTAGTCACGGCAGAATTATGTACAACCACTTTATAGAAGGTCATGCGGAAGCTTGAATGGGACATTATAAGAGTGAAAATCAGTAGCTATTAGTAATCTCTTTGCTAGTGATGTTGTTTTTGTAATTACAAGTATTAGCTAAGTGGAATAAAAATTGAACAGCTACGGCAATGCTTGTAGAAAATTTAATATCTCATTACGAAATATGCTACAGTAAGCAGTGAAATGAGACATACTATGCCGACAGATGATTCCAGATTTAGGGCTAGGGAAATGGAAA